GTGTGTATTTGTGTGTGTGTGTGCTGATGACCAGGACAGGACTGAATAATGGGAGCAAGGGTCCCCTGTTGTAATGCTACAGCGTTATTTCTGGAGCATTAGTTTGCACATGGTGTGGAGTTATTACTGACCCGCTGCTAGCCCGCTGTGTTGGGGAGTAACTTTGAGTTTGATCCTCGCCGTCCGACGGTTTCTACAGATTAACGTTAGGGCAACAGACAACCACCTGGCGGGCACACTGACGTCTGCCGCCACGGACTATACAGAAATATTAAGACAGATGGTTTATTGTCTGCACAAAGTGTGGGGCTTCATCATGCATTGTCACATTGTTCTTGCAGGGCAACGACTGGATTCGAGTTTTGTTCATTACACAAGTTAAAATCAAAGGAATAACAACAACAATGACAGATAATGTACAGAAGGGCCTCTCCCTGAGACATATGGTTAGGTTATAACCATCGGTTGCAACATAGCCAAGTTATTGAACAAAAGTTAAACATGCTCTGTAATTTTAACCAATAATAAATCTAGTCAGGAGTAAATCATTAATAGGTTGTTAGTTGTTCTGAATCTTCTGGGTTCATTATGGATTAATTGAGCAAAAGCACAAATGTCATATTTGCAGATTCCTCAAATATGTGCTGTGTTTTATTCTTTTATTAAAATAATGATTTACTATATTATTTTATGTAGAAAATATTTTAGTTCATGACGTCAGACGAAACAACATATGTGAGGATGACATCTTGGTCTTCCAGAACTTCTGATGGGAATTTTTCACTTTAAAAAAACCCCCAAAACATTTGTTTAACTAAACAATTTTCTCGGAAATGAATCAACAGACTGATCAATGATGAAAATAAATGATAGTTGCAGCTCTGCTTGTTACTGACAATAGCTGGCGGGATGTTTGGACATTAAATAAGTGAATTTGTTTGAAACTAAGACATGAGATGATCAGGTTAGTAAAATGAAAACATTTATATCAAAAATTGAAAAGAAGTTAAAGTTTCTGAAATAAATAGACAGCAGGCAAGGATTTGAATGGGTTTCTGAAGGATTCTCTTGGTTTTTAGTTGTAACTTTATACAGAGATTATTTGCATCATCAAAAGTCATCTAGAAATAACCTTTCTGATGGATTTCATTGAACTGCAGTTTTAATTATTACAGTTGATATTGGACACCCATTTTATAACCTCCATTTCCCAGCCCAGATACTGAGAAATCATTTATTGCAGTGTTTTTTAGGCTGTTTCACAATTGAATGGTGGCAGTTGTTTGCTTGCTGCTCCAACCAGTTAGGCCACATTGTGTATTTGTCGATGGCCTTTACACTGCTTGCCTTGTTCTGAGCACACGTTGGGGTGTCGCCGATCTGCGTACTTGCTGTTCTAGTGCAGTGTCTGCGGTTAGACGCTGCCATAGTGAAGCAGGCTCAGTGTCTGCCCTGGTATTGACATGCATCACTGCCCCTGACTGAGATTGAGGCCTTATAAATACAAATCACTTTCTTCACTATATGAAACCAAAGTGTGAACTGAAACTTCCGCCCTGCTCCACCTCATGCCTCCACACACTCTGTCCTGCAGCTGACCTTTGACCTCAGACAGGCTAATTCTGCATGGTGTAATGCATTCCATTGCACTACTGTAATGTTTTTTGATTGAATGTGCTGAAACCCTTATCAGGCAACAGTTATCCATCCATAATGAGTCTGTTTAATATTTACACCAAAATTAAACTTCTAATCTAGGTAATAAGTTTGTGTAACTTAAGTTAATGTTTAGAGAAATGATGGCAATATATATCAGCATGAGTAAACATAAATGCACAGAAATGCACACATGTCGGCAGATACGCAAAAATAAGTTGCCTTGCAGACAATAATCACAGCAGCAGATGTTTTAAGGCTGCATTTTCAGACATTTACTTCACTTCGGTTCACTCCAGAATCCTCTATTCAAAGCAGAAACCGCACACAAGTCTGACACAGATTTCCATTTCCATGATTAGATTGTTTGGTGACAATTCAATTTTTTGCAGTGACAATACATTGATGTTTTTTTCTCCCCTCTGCTCTCCAGGTGGCTGGTGATAGCTGTGGGTCTGGTCAGAGCTTACCTGGCCAGAGGAAGCTACCACGGGCTGTACTACTCCATAGAGAAGCCCCTGAAGTTCTTTCAGACTGGAGCTATTCTGGAGGTGAGATAAGCACAAAGGCCTGGGTAGTACTGACAAAATCAAATTCCATTCTATATTTGATTAAATACAATGTGTATCCCATATATAATGTGGCAATATTTCAGTGCACAACATCTAATTTATACATACAGATATTAGGCATGTAACAATTAGCTTTAGTTTGAATACTCCATTAATAATGCTTTCAGCTTTTATTACAGTATTTTATTTCATGATTAACAGCACTGCAGGTGATTATAGATCATCTGTTAGTTGTCCTAGCAGTCTTGGACTGAGTCTTGGATTCAGGTCTGGATTCAGGTCTGCAGTGGAACAGATCTTTTCTTAGGGCTGTACAGTGTTTGGTATGTCCTCTTAAACATATCAGCATGATAGCCTAACATACCAGGCCACTCTGTGTTAAAGGCACTTAAAACCAAATAAATAGCTTTATATCTTAATAACTGTTTGTAAGATTTCCAACTAATAAAATTACAGAGATAAATGAAGTCTCCTTCTGCTTCAAAACTAGGTAAAGAGAATTGTGTAGTTCCTTCCTATACACACACACACACACACACACACACACACACACACAAACACTACACTCACGTGTATAGTGCAGAGATAAGCAGCATGAGGTGTTTCAGTGATACTGTCCAGACACACTGTAGCAGTGATAGGACACATAGCTTTGTTTAACAGCTGTATCTTCCATTCATGAAATCATCTGTGCACACACTGAACACTACAGGCACTATGGGATTTAGTTGTCAAGCTTGTTAGAATGTCATGCATGAGAATTCAATTTGAAATAATACATCAGTTTTTGTATTATAGAGTTGTACACATTAAACATCCTTTTAGGTATGTCCTATAAATATTATATTATACTGGCACATCAATCACAATAATAATAATATTAAAAATGTAAAATAAAAACAAAAGAATAATTGTTTGTTCTCCTCTCCTTTCACAGATATTGCACTGTGCTGTAGGTGAGTCTCTCTTCAGCCTCCACCCTCACTGCTCTCTGTTAGCAGTGAAACATCAGAGAGAGTACCATTTATTAGTGTGTACTGTATCTCTCATTACAGTTTGACTTGGCAGATTGTTCATTTAAAAAATCTGTAATTACATTTTGTCAATTAAGTTTTAAGTACTAAGACATTAACTGGTATGAGATCACTATTCTAAAAATATCTACAATAAAGTTTTGATTATGTGACACGTACACAACACAAATTAAGTATACTTTGACTAGTCATCATTTTAAGTGAAGATCTGAACTGAAGTTATAACTAAATCAAATCAAAGTAGACATACAAGGAAAAAAAACTCACAAAAAGGGCTCACTGAACGGTTTGGTAATTATTCAAATGATGTGAATCATATGCTACGGCCTTTACAGTCACCAGACCCTAACCAAAACCATTTTCACACTCTACGTGTGTGTAGACCCAATGTAGCATAAACAGTATTTCAAAGGTCTTAGATTATATTCCCGACCACCGCATCATTAAATCACCCCTCCAGCTGACTGACATAGACTTGTAGAATCTATACTAAGAAGCACCGAAGCTGTTCTGAAGGCTGGTGGTAACAAAACACCCTGAAGAGGCACTTTTTTTTAGTTTTTCCTTTAAGTTTTGTAAATAATTGATGGTCAGAAGTTCCTTTAAAGGTCCAGCGTGTAACATTTTGGAGCGTCTATTGGCAGAAATGGAAAATAATATTTATAGGCATGTGTTTATTTGTGTATAATGGCTGTTTGCATATTTGACCTGTTTCATGGCCACTGTAGTTTCTCCTTTATGAGGGAGTTGCAATCTGCAAATACACCACTAGATGCCACTAAAGCTGATACACTAAAACTGTATGGATCTCAAAGTACAATTTTGACCAAACTCAACAGAATCATAGATCTCCAGCTGTCATTTGGTATGTGAATGACAACCTCAGTGATGGCATTATAGGTATGTTGTTATTAGTAAACAGAAGTCAGATAGCAGAAGCTTTATATATTAAATGATTTTGTCTGGTTACATTGTCGCTTGCTTGTCACATTGCATTTGTATCTCAGATGTAAATGTGCACAGACAAACAGAAGCTTTTCATATTTGAAGTGTTTGCCAAAGAGAGAACAGAGAAACCGTTGGCTCTCGTGGTGTTAATGTGTGAGGAAAGACCGGTTCTCGCCTGGCCGCCTCGCTGCGGTTCCCAGTCCATTCCCTTCATTATCTAGGATTAATGGAAGATTACCTAGGCTCCCTGCAGCTGCTGTCCACTCTGAGCAAACACACACACACACACACAAACAGCTTTAGGTTCCTCTCTACTGGCCAGTTGAAGACACTGCGTCAATATTTGTTCCAAGCCTTTTTTGTGTATATTTGACAGCTTACAGTCTCTGAGCAAACATTTGCTATCAACATGTCTTAGTATTGTATTACTTAGTATTTTGGACAAACCATTGTCCAAAATACTTTAATTTACAGATTCTGTCAAGCACTCCATTCCACATGACAACCATTGCTTTTCGGACCAATTTTCCATTTGATATAACATGTAATGATGCTTAAGCTGGTTTCCTAAAGCAAAAGAAAAAACATCAAATCAGCAACTGAAAGCACAGGAAATTAGACCCAGAAAACAAACCCCACCCAAGCTGACATTCTCAAATGTCACGTTTTGTCCACAGCCCAGAGGCATTCAGTTTACTGTCATAGAGGACTAAAGAAACCCGAAAGTTTGGATAATGATAATTTAATAGTCAACAACTAATTGATGAATCAACTAATCGTTGAAGCTCTTAACTAAACTGGGCTATAAAGCAGCAAATCCTCACTCTTGAGAAGCTGGAATCAGGGAATGTAGGGAGTTTTTGTTTGATAAACCAAGATTAATTCATTATCAAAAGATTAATGTTCTGTCTGTTGTTTGTTTTGCCAAGCATCTGAAGAAGATGCATCAGCATCTAAATGAATTGGTATAATTGTTCAAATAGACCAATCTAACTGTTAATTAAATTTTGCGAGAAGAGAAACCACCAGTCAGTAGGTTTGTTGACAATGTCCTGAATAAAACAGAAAAGATTCCTTTAAAATGAACCATGCCAGTGAGGTAATTCACACACAAATACAGTATATTCTAATTCATGTGTGTTCACAGTGAATAATACTTTGTTTCATATTCTAGGAATTGTACCGTCCTCTGTAGTCCTGACCGGATTCCAGGTCATGTCCCGGGTTTTCCTCACCTGGGCCGTCACACACAGCGTCAGGGAGGTAAGTTGAGTTTTCTAACTTAAACACATAAAATCAGTGTGTATGTGTAAAATGGTCTGTAATGGACTTGGTATGAATGACACACAAATGTAAATGTAAACGTGGACTCATGTTCAAAAGTGACCAGCTGATGTACTGTACTGTTTGCCCTCTTACTAGATCAGAGAGGAGTAATTGTGTAAGTAACGTCAGATGGTCTTGCCGTAGGCTTGCAGGAATGAATCTGTTGAATTATAATGTAGTGAGTAATGTGTGTAGTTCCTTTGTGTGTCTATTGTACGATGCTGCACTGACATTTTTCTCAAGCTGTTCTCTCTTTCCCTTTTTCAATGTATGTGGAAACTGTATTTAAAGTGTTACTGTGTGATAAGAAGTGTGCTCTTCTTTTTAACATATTTGCATCAGTTTTAACCTAACATCTGAGGATAGTGACCATCTGCCTGCGGTGTGGTCTGATCTCTGAGCATCTGAAACAAACAGCATGGTTCTGCATTAAAAAGTCTAGATTACCTACAGCAGAGTAACTCCCGCAGTATGATGCAAGCCCGTCCGCTCCCTGTCCTCCTCCTATCATCCCCTGTGTGTGTTTCTGCAGGTGCAGAGTGAGGACAGCGTGCTGCTGTTTGTCACAGCCTGGACCGTCACAGAGATCATCCGCTACTCTTTCTACACCTTCAGCCTGCTCAATCACCTGCCATTCCTCATCAAATGGGCAAGGTAGGGAAATCTACCCGAGAGCGGTGTCAGAGCAGGAGACACTCGTATCTAACTACACTACACACTGAAAAAATGGACGAACTTTGAAAATGATGTCTCTTGATAAGAGCTGTCAATACTTGTTGCATACTGGATTAATTACATCAGTTAGACTGAGTATTGGAAAATGTCAAGTTGTAAAAAAAAAAAAAAAAAAAAAAAAAAAAAAAGTCAAAAAGTTGTGAAAATGCCCATAAAAATTATCTCGAGCCCAAGGTAGCATCTTCTTATTACTAGTTTTGTCCAAACACCCAGATATTCAATTTAAAATGCAGCATGACAAAGAAAAGTGGGAAATCCTCCGATTTGAGATTGTTTGGCATTTTCAATCGATTAGCAAAGTAGCTGCTGATTATTTCTTATGTCGATCCAACTAATCGTTTCAGCTGCATACTGTAATTTATTTGGCAAAATTCTCATGCAGATGTTAAGACAACATGGTGTTTTTGAGGAAGGCTGGTTTACCATGTGTTCATGCTCTGTAGTTCATCATTATTAATTTATCAAGCAAAAATAGCAAACGTTCACTGGTTCCATTCAAATGTGAGCATTTGCGACATCTCACTTTTATATCATATGAAACTGACAAACTTTAGGTCTTTAATAACGTTTGCCGGTCGGTCAAACAAAGCTAGAAATGAAGAAAAGAAAATTGTGACCGCATTTTCACAAGCATCATACACGACTGTCAATAATATGGGAAATTCAAGGATAATTATTTGGAATATTATAGTGATTTCTTTTGTTACATTTTTGGCTTGTTTCAGGAAAAAAGTCATTGTAAATTATACATTATTTTTTCAAATTACATTTAGCAAAAGGTCATTTTTTTAATGCTAGTATTTACAGTACCTACTTGAAACCCTAAAACAGATTAAGGAGCTTTATGAGACACAGGAAAAGTTATCCCAGCAACACATTTCTCTTTAAAGGCCTTACTCCCAACAATGATTAGTTATAAAAGAAATAATCATATAATCTACAGAAAATCTGTAGTACTGTTCCCACCATAGAAGTCTCCCTCTGCCCAATGGGATTCAGCTGCATCTTCAACCAAGGCAACAGTTGTTTAGTGCCTCCCTCCCCGCGGCCTTTGTTGCTAGGTAGCAAATGACACCATCGCTATATTGGTATTCGACTTTCACTTTGAGTTGCACCCTGAGAGGCAGAAAAGAATTGGTCGTGCATCGGTGGAAAATTCAGCGAGGGATCAGAGAGGACAGTCGCTGGGTTCTGACGTTTTGTTTTCTCTCTGTAAAAGAAAAGGAGTTCAGTGTATCTCTCCTATGTAATTGTGAGCTTTCTCCTCTTTCTCCTCAAAAGGCCGATCCCTTAACAGTTTTATGGTTAGAAATTTAGAAGCATACAGAGGCAGTGAAATTTTCAGCACATGTTAAAGGCTAATATTTATACAGTATATTTTGTTTTTGGAAGTAATAATGTATATCATGGTGTATAAGTTCTGTCGGCTGATTACTCCACTTTTAATTTAATACTGTGAATGCAGCCTTTTAACTATTACTTTAAAGTGTCTCAGCCAACAGTTGGAACTAAATTCATCTTTCTGGTGTTTTACATGTCCTTCCATGGCTCTCTTTTCTTTTAAGGTTAATGATTTATTTATATCATTGCCTATTTGAATTACTTGTGTCAGAGTCTGAGCACATTCTCAAACATTCCTCTTACTCCTCCACTCTTTCTTGAAGAGATGAAAAATGTCTCTGGTATTGCTGCCTCTGGCAACAGCTTTTTATTCTCTTCAGTTGTACGTACATCTTTTTAAAATCCGAGTCATGTCCAAACTCTGGACAAAGTGCCTTTTTTTAGACCACTTTCTTCATCGTTTGGTTGTGCCTTTACTGCACCGTGTTCTTCACCTACATTTTTTTTTAGCAAGTGTATGTTGAAGTAAAAATCCAAAGCCACATCATATTTCTTTGAGTTTTTATCGCAGCTATACCACCTGTCCTCCCCTCACGTTGCAGAAACAATAAATAATGAAGATGTGTGATTTATTATTTCTCTCTCCTACCTTCTCTTTCACAAACCCCTCTGCTGCAGGTACACCTTCTTTTTTGTGCTGTATCCCATGGGAGTGACTGGGGAACTGCTGACTATCTATGCAGCGCTGCCGTATGTGCAGAAGACAGGCCTGTACTCTGTCACTCTCCCCAACAAGTACAACTTTTCTTTTGACTACTACACCTTCCTCATCCTCATCATGATCTCCTACATTCCCCGTAAGTCGACATGCAGATTTGACTTTTTTCCTCTTTTGTCGTGACAACCAACAGGCATTTAAAATATTATTCTTCCTGTAAGAATTTGCTTTAAATCACAAATATAGAGAAGTCCATTGCATTTACCAAAGAATAGAAAACTGGAGACACCTTCCTTATCACATATTATTAGCCTCCAGCTATATTTAGACTGAACTCCAAGGGAGTTTTTACCTTTTGTGATTCACACGAATTTGACTGCAGTCTGTGTATGCTTAAATGTGCCCAGAATGTTCAGACTGTGCAGACGTTAGTTACTGTAGTTGCCGGCATACGCAACCGTGTGTGTGAAGAGTGTGTCTGCACTTTCAAATTCTGACTGAAAATCTACTGGAACTTTCCGTTATCTTCACGCAGCCTCTCTTTTTCCCCTTGTATTTGTACGTTCATAAACTGAAATCATAAATCCATTAGAGAATTAAATCAGGTGGAGATGAGATATGATTACAAGACGGTCTATCACATAATTATTAAGTAATAGTTTTTTATAATTATGAGAAAATTATTTGTATTTATAATTTTTCTTTGGTAAATGCAATACATTTCTATAGAGGTTTCAGAGTTAAAGGTGGTGTTGTGCTGGACTATATTACCGTAAAACTTTATATAATAGCCGGATTTGCTTCAATCACTGAACTCAACCTGCCTTTATTTTG